AATACCAAGAGTTAAGTGTATCTTGTGTAATTTGAGTAAAGTCTTTTGAATTGGTAGTTTAAATCCATCAACAAATTATCATCGTCACTAAAATATTAGTGAACTTTTTGTAGCCTGATTTAACAGATCTGCAATGATTCATTTGAACGTTAGCTAAGAAAAAATGCCACAGTATTCATAAGAAAGATGTTTTCTTTATGAAAAAGATTTATTGAAAATTATACATTTGCAACATTTTCATATGCACAATCTGTTATTGAATGTTTTCCTTTTGTAAGTACAGTACATTTCTGAACTGAGCGTAGTCATGATCCCATGTGCCAGAGCCGCACGAGTAGAATTTATAAATTCCATGAATTTTTAGACAGTACGACACAATTAACTTTAGTTGGTTCTCAACTTATCTGTGACTTTCCATTCGTAGAAATCTGTCAAATACAGTACATAATATTTTTAATTACAGTACTACTGAATGAGCTGTTAATATTCATGAAAACAATTATTTTAAGATATATTAATTAAATACAGCATTTTTAAATTTCAGAACAGAATTTACTTACCCTTCATAGTTTTGAATTCCAGCTTCTCAATTTCACAGGCAAATTTATGTACTATACAGGTACTGTACAGTACTTTCTCCAGATGTTCACGTAATTGAAGGAAAGTAGAAAATCCTTCAGAACATGAAGTCTTCCGACAGAATATAGACTTTTCCTCCACCAGGATTTGCTTATCTTCTAAATCTACATGCTTGTTAGTAAGATTTCCTTTTGAGAAGTGCTTATCGCAATAACAATAAGTATCTTCTAATATATCCAACGCAATATTTTCCATAACGATTTCTTAGCAACGTAGCGGGAATACTTTAAAACCAATTATCGATGATAAAGTATGGTTTTAAAGCTAAAATAGCGACAAAAAATTTCAAGCACAACGTACAGTATGAGGTATACGCTATCTGAACGTCACAAGACTAGCGGCATCTCGTGGTAAAAACCAGAACTACGGCTACGGAATCGTTCTGTAATTAGACGCCAGTGATTCGATCCTGGGTCTCTAGAGTGGTAAGTTGCCACCTTGAACCGTTCGGCCATTCGGCCGTAATCAAGAGATTGCACGGTTTTACTGAATGATGTTAAAATTCTTAAACAAGAAAAAACTTCCACGTGCTAGCCGTGTGGAATTTTTTAGGTTTTCTTCACGTGTCTAGCCCCTAAATAGTGACTTGTTTCGCATAGTAAATCTCCCAGTAGGCACTTCCCTTGGTAGTTCTCCCATGTGTTGCGTTGCCTTATCCTGTTAACCCAATTTATATTGGTTGACTAGAATTTGTAGGACTAGGGTTAAGATATCTGGCAAAACGGCCATCTGATCTAAAAGGCTGTTGCGACTATTTAATCGGCTCTGCAACTGCTAAGCAATATTCAAATTACACAAAGATAGCAACTTCATCTGCAGCTGAAACTTTAAAGGTTTATTCCCCCTTGTTTGAAGAGGTTCCTCTTAGTACCTCACTATGGGTTCAGGCGGCCCGGCCTAACCCACGATGGGTACGAACTCATAATTAGGATGGCCGAGAGGGATTGGGATAACAAATTTTTGGATTTCAATTTATAATACGTTAGCAGAAAAACTATACTTTGTTAAATAACAAAATTAACATTATAGATAGAAATACGTTTTTTTTTTTTAATACTCCTTCCTCCTTTCGCCCTTTATGCACTAAGAGTGTCTCTTTTAGCAAGCCCATTATGGATTCGGCCAGGCCTCCAATGGGCACGGCCGGTTGATGAGGGTCGGGGCCCGACATACCTGGACCGACCACTCCCAGTTTGTTTGTTTGTTTTGTTAAGTTATGACAACGCAATACTTGGGTGACTGCCTAGGGGGAATGCCTTCCGGAGGTCTTTTTATGAGTATCTGGGCCATATTCAGGCGTTACAGACGTGGAGAAAACCCGGAAAACTCCACGTGGTCAGCCCGTCCGGGCGAAGCGCGAACCCACGACCCTGAACACTGGGAGTTCCCCAGTGTTCAGGGTACGAAGACCGCTTGGCCACTGGTGGGCCGATCACTTCAGATGGTGCCAAGGTTCCATTCTTATTCAAAGATGCGAAAATCTTAATTAAAAATTCGTTTTAATATGACAGAAGTTAATAGTTTGAGATAAAATAACTCAGCTTTATCTTAGTTGGTAATTTCTTGGTCAAGCTGAATTTGTTTCGGAACAAACTTTATGATGCTACACCACAATAATCTAGAAATTTTATTTACTGACGTCAAGTTTATAATGGTAGTGATCCAAAAGCAACAAAGTGGATTAGAATGATGAAAGAAAACAAAATAGCAATTTTTGGAGATAAAATATATAAGGTATGCAAAACCAATATAATCGTGAATATGAGGAATAATAATTTATATTGAAAAATAAAATTAATTAGTTAAGAGACATTTATGAGCAGCTATATAAATAGCTTGTGCTGCTCCTATGTATAGCTTATCCATTTTTTATTATCTGATTTATTAAAAGATATATACTACTCATCTTTACTATTTGAATATAACACATTTATACTGCATAATAAATAAAATGCTTACATAATAAACATTTATATATACTTATAAATAATATGCTTTAATCATCACAATTAATAACTATTTCTTCCAAATTAGGAAGAACAAATTGAAATCTTGCAAATTTCTTAGTTTCAGAAGTTTCATAACTTTATAAAGATTGATTTTATATAATTCTCGAATTATATAAAATAATTTTAATATAGGGTCGTTCATTAATTAATTACTTGTACAAATTTTGTGCCGTTGTTGATTCCTTCCTTTCTTCTAGTGTACAATGATATACTTTTGGCAAACTGTATTTATATCTATACGAGTACAGACCCTCTGACATTAGAGAAATAACTTTACAATGTACTTCAAATATTTTTTAACTAATAATTCATTCACGACTAGTAAATAAGCTTATAAGAACAAATTCATAAATCACTATCATCATAAAAAAATCCATGTAGACAAAGTCTCGATACCCTTCCCCCATCGTGTATAATGATGCATTTTTCGCGACTTTTCCTTCTTAAACTGTACCGTACATGTATAGAACAGCATCTATTACCCATTGAGTTAGATGTTTAAAAGAGAGGTTGCGGCCGACGTTTTCATCGTAAAAACGTGAACGTCGGACTTCAGCGCCGCCTTCCTGTGAGCCTAGAAGTCTGACAATGGCGTTTGGAACGTCAGTGGAATTATGTTCGATGTTCCAAACGCCATTGTCAAACTTCTAGGCTTACAGGAAGGCGGCGCTGAACGTCCGACGTTCATGTTTTTACGATGGAAACATCGGCCGCAGCCTCTCTATTGTCTCGGTATTGTTTAGTTTTTGATAATAAAAAATTTAATCAAAATATTTTGATTTAATCATCAATCAATGTTATCTCCGAGATTGATAATGTTTTATTAGAATCGTTAGAATATTATCAAGTTTGTAGAATATTGAATTTGTTGAGAAAATAAAATGATGACATAAACAAAATTAGAATTTTGTTTTTTTTATTGCAGATTGTGCTTAGTCGACTTCTGTACCTGTACGTAATTTTAAATACTGTATATTCATTATTAAGCTAGCATGTAGCATATAGAAATATTGTTTATTATTATTAGATGAAATGTTATTTTGCATATAATAGAAATAAACGATGATATATAAAGATTTATAAATGCGCAATAAATTGCAATTTTTGTTGAGATAAAATATTATTAGTTTTTGAGAGAAAATAAATTGAATATATGGTAATCGAATAAGAAAATGATGCTGAATTGAATTTTACTAAATCATCGGAAGTTCGAAAAGGTTAATTTATGACATTCATTTTCAATAATATGAATATTTCTGTAATATTAGTGTTTTGATAAATATTAATAGTTTAATAATTTACTTTTATAGTTAACGTTTAACACTTTGACCGCTCGATATTTTCGAGTATTTATTTTTAAAAAAGAAAATATAAACCTTTTAAGTTAAATTTATTAGTTTGATACAAGTTTAATAAAATCCTAATCTTGTTATGAACAAATTGTAATATTCAATTGTGCATTTAGAATTTCTAGATGACAAGCAAATAATAGAGAGGTTGCGGCAGAAGTTTTCGTCTCTCAAACGTCGAACGTCGAACGTCGAGAGCCGCTTACAAGATAGCGGCGCTCGACGTTCGGCGTTCACATTTGAGAAATGAAAACTTCGGCCGCAACCTCACTATTATTTGCTTGAAAGCGGCGCCCGACGTTCGACGTTCACGTTTGAGAGACTAAAACTTCGGCCGCAACCTCGCTAAATAAAGTCTAAAAGCACTGCAGATGTCTATGACGATTTTACAGAAGTAATTAAATTTTATAATATATGAAGGAATTTTTTTACTGTTAAATAAATAAATAAATAAATAATAACGCAAAGTTTTATAGAATTTAGTTTACGAAAGAAATCCGGAATTTATTTCTTTGTTTATTTTATTTTATTTTATTTTTTGTGATGAAAAGAAAAAAAAAACTCGAATAACGTTTAAATTTCTGATAGCGATATCAGAATAATTAACAAAAATAAATACATCCAATCAATTTTAAGTTAATAATATAAAATGAAATTCGATCAAAATTAAAAAAATAATTTAAATATTTTGGATTTTTTTTCGTTTCACGTTCTGTTTGATTCAGTGTCGCCCGATTGGTTGTTCGCATTTGACGTATTTGTGTTGTGGCCTTAATTTCTAAACTTCCGGTTTTCCATCTGCTACAGATGACGAATGTAAAAGGGAAGAAGTAGAATGGATTCTTAATAATTTTATTGTTTTCTGTGATATACCGAAATATTATAATTGTTATGTATATATTTTTGAAGATGGTAAAAAGGAAATGCTAGAAAGTAAGGCTTTATTCTTTAATTTAATAAATAAGGTTAATTAATGATCAAGTTATACAAAATTATAATATATTGTTTTTTTATAATTTATGATTTCTAGTTTAGAATCATTTTCTTCGTGATATATAGAACTGTAGAATACAGTTGGCTTTTCATATTTGCTATTTATTATTATTTATGTATTAATATACATTTTTAAACAATTAAATAATTTAGAAAATGCATAAATATTCCAGTGTTTGTTTATTTGATATTCTAAATAACTCTAAACATGTTTTTCACATTATTTACTTTTGATAAAAATGAAAGGAATGACAACCAGATAACATGTTCTGGGATGAATGTATTCCAGTTGTAACATTTGTACTACAAAGTCAACCCCCCTATAAAATGTTGATAATTCCGTTTTATATGAACTCCATGTTGTATGAGTCACTTAGATTTTACAAATACGTAAACCGTTCACAGCCCGGCACACGTATTTGTGAAATCTAAGTGACTCGTACAACATGGAATTCATATAAAATGGAATTATCAACAGTGTTATAGGGGGTCGACTGTAATTCATTCTGTGAATATAAATTCACGGTTAATTTTCTTATAATGGTTAAACTGTGTGTCTTTTTGTATCTCATATTAATAATTTAAAAAAAAAATTACTTTTTAAAGATTCATTTATTTATTCTTATCTAGCTTTTGCTTTAAAGAAAGTATGAATTACATCATAAATTTTTCTTGACTACACCTTCTTTGTGAATTTCCTTCTCCCTTTCCTTTTTATGCTTAGTAAAGTAGGGTATTAATCAAACATCTATATATTAGCTATTTTATCAAATTATAAATATTCTAGACTTCACACAAGTCGGTAATTGTAATAAATAATGTAGATTTTTATTTTAAACGAGTTTTATAATTCCGTTTCGTAAATTAGTTATGCATTATTACAAAATATTTATAATGTGCACAAAAGCATTATAATTATATTAAATATGATGCTTGTATAAATTATTAGTGTAAGTGAATACTGTCATCAATAGCATGTGATTGATTATGTAATTGATAACATGTAAGTTTTAATTGCAAAAATAATTTTTTAAGGCATTTTTATGTATTGATGATTTCAAATGCAAAAATGCATTTATTTTTGCTTTTTTATTAAATAAAATAAAATTAAAAATAATAATGAAATTATTATATAAAAAAATATTTACAGAATTGGAAGAAACAATAAATGTCTTTGTATTTTGTCCTTTTCAATATCTCAGGAACACAACAGTTTTACAGTGGACTTGACCTTTTTATTTGAGATTACTCATCTGTCTTGATATGCAAAAACATTTTAAAAAATTCCAGGGCAACGGCACAATCATAAAAATTTATTAATTAATGAAATTATTCTTTTTAATTTTAATAAATTATTCAATGTAATATTCACAGAAGATAAAAGATGGATGTAAACAAGATTAATATTGGAAAAATCTATTAAGACATTTTAAAATTATTTAATTTGCATGATTATATTACTATAAATATAATTTTTAACTTGCATTAAAAATTTTGAATCTGAAAGGTAGATTTACATTCACCCTACAGTTTTGTAAAATAAAAATATCAATATATCAAAATTTCCAAAATTCCAGTTTTGTTTTTTCAAAAAATCAAGCACATAATTAAAAATAATGAAAACAATCATGAAAGGATCCCTTATTTTTCTCTTAACAAATCATCATTACTATAGCATGGAAAAACTAGCTAAGACTGTAATACCAAAATGTAAAAACTTATAATCTTGTTATGATTTCTACTAAGTGGTTATACATTGAAATGATATGAAAAATAGATTTTAATCTCAAACTGAAAGCTTGTTACAGTATACATTTTTTAACATTATGATTTACACTTTCATATTTTTAAAAGCTTCTTTTATAAATATTAATTTACACAATGCTGTAAAGAAAAATTTCAAAACAAATATTTTGAAAAATATAGAAAATCTGTAAGATGTATATTAAGAAATTATAATTTTATTTTATATGCTTTACATACATTTTGAGACCACCTCTGATTTGTATCCACTTCCAATATGTGCCATATGTTTTTAGTCCCTTCTATACAAATCAGACTCTGATATGTGATCATTTGCACAAGTCTAAGCATGCAGTTACTTCAAATCCAATTCCTTTGCCATATGGTACTGTTTTCTTTCTTCTTTTTTCCAGGCAGTAGTGGATTTCAGTGCTTTCTAGGCACTAGAAATTTGGAGCCACTTTATGTAATTTTTTGACATTATAAACTAATAATGTTTAATTGAATAGAATTATTTATAAGTTATGGAAAAAATTTTACCATTGGTATTGTATATTTATTTTAATTTTGGAGTCCAAGTTTCAAGGCTACAAGGCATTTGATTTGCATTATGTGTCTAGTGAGCAATCGAGCATCCTTTCCAGGAATGCTGTTATAGTTATCAGTAATGAAATGTAACATCTCTGTAGTAATAAGAGGGTTAGATTGGCTAGTGACTTTCTGCAGTTTGCATTTGTTATAGTAACATAAGTGTAAACAACCATAAATTTCAGCTCAAATTCTTTTTAAATAAATAGTGCTTGACCTTATTCAAATGCTTTCATCAGACTACATTATTTTGAATATCAAAGACACTTACAAAATGACTCTCTAGACATCCTCAGTGTGTGTGTGATATTCAAAATTGATTGATTTGATTTGCTAAATCAAACTGTTAATAATGTTCAAAAATTTTTTAACAAAATGCTACCTTTATCATTAAGAAACTGCCATTCGAATCTTAGTCTTTAGTTTATATGCATAAAGTATCTTAAATTTTGAATGAACATCCTTCTAGCCTTTTGTAAGTTGCAAATTCTATAATACTGTGTGTTGAAATGAAGGCTATAAATGGCACCCTCTGTATAGTGTTCATTTCCTATATATGACCACTTTTGAATTTTTCCTAGAGTGGTCATAAATGGCAGGTTTTAATGTATTTATAACATTATCAAGTTAGTGAATTGCTATATGTAATAAAGTGAATGAATATATTATTTCTGTTAATCAGTATGCTGAAAGATATAATCTCATAAAAACATTTAATTCATAATTAATAAATAGGTAATATTAAAGAACTTTCAGGAAAATAATTAATGTATGAAATTTTAAGTGCCATTAGGATTACATAAGAATTACAGTAAGAATTACAACAATTAATTTTCTTTCTTGTAAATTGAAATAAATGAAATGCTTAAATTAATTTTAAAAAATTAATTTAATTAAATTAATAAATTAAATGCAACAATTAATTTTCTTTCTTGTAAATTGAACTAAATGAAATGCTTAAATTTTAATAAGAATTACCTTATAATTTAATCCTCCTAAATTCCTACTAAATAATTGAAATGTTTTTTTTATACTACTACTATTCCTATTACTGCCGTTAATAATTTAAGAAAAGTAATTGAAAACTTTTGAGAAAGTTAAACTATTAAAAAATCTTTTTGTAATGTTCAAAGCTGATATTTTTAGTATAATTTCAGATTAATAAACTTCAATATATACACTGTTTCTTCTAAAGCACATAATTGTAAAAAATTTATATGTTAATTTATAAGTTACCTAATTCAACATTCAGGTGTATTAAAAAATGTGAAGTGATATATGAACACATTTGTCATTTTACTGTTTAAAAACTCAACATAATTCATTTATAAATTTCATTTGATTGAGAGGGTTGAAATTTAACTCTTAATCAAGCAGAACTCATGAATAATGCAAACATAAATAACTACTAATGAGTGAATTCTTACAATAGCTATTTGTATTATAAAGCTTTTTGCTATTAGTATAATTTTAACTATTTTGATTATTTACAGCAAAAGCAAATTTATACAAACATCTCCAACCCGATATATAATATAGCTACAACAAACAGACTGCCGAAAATCTATCGGGCTAGTTTTATGCTAATTATTAAATAAATTACGTAATCAATTTGGTACTAGAGGTAAGCGTTAGGCGCCATCTCTTATTAATATTAATAATTATAAATAATTTTAATTAATCGGCCCGGAGCGGGACTCGAACCCACAACTCCTGCTTACCGTGCAGATGCGTTGCCAGTTACGCTACCCGGACCTCCGATCCGATCTCCTCTTCCAGCGTATATAATCTAACTACTTAACCATCGACGGTTATTACAACGCCGGCTGGGGACACATTCAGTGCCCACGTCCTACTTCCCATAAGGCTCTCAACCGGCCATCGCAAGCCCCGGCAAGGCGTAATATATATACAAACATCTCCAACCCGATATATAATTATAGCTACAACCAACAGACTGCCGAAAATCTATCGGGCTAGTTTTATGCTACTTATTAGATAAATTACGTAATCAATTTGGTACTAGAGGTAAGCGTTAGGCGCCATCTCTTATTAATATTAATAATTATAAATAATTTTAATTAATTTAAATAATTTGGAACCGCTGGGAGAAAAAATCGGCCCGGAGCGGGACTCGAACCCACAACTCCTGCTTACCGTGCAGATGCGTTGCCAGTTACGCTACCCGGACCTCCGATCCGATCTCCTCTTCCAGCGTATATAATCTAACTACTTAACCATCGACGGTTATATCGATTTTTCTCCCAGCGGTTCCGAATTATTTAAAATTAATTAAAATTATTTATAATTATTAATATTAATAAGAGATGGCGCCTAACATTTACCTCTAGTACCAAATTGATTACGTAATTTATTTAATAATTAGCATAAAACTAGCCCGATAGATTTTTGGCAGTCTGTTGGTTGTAGCTATAAAAGCAAATTTTTAGTGAATTATAATTGTAATTCATGTGTCCAATAATTTTACATTATTGCCTCTATTACATTAGGTAAAAGATGTCTACTTTGTTTTTTTACTGTTAGAAAATGATGTAGTAAATACGAAAAATAGGTTTGCAGTGATAATATCCAAAATTAAAACTGGAATAGATAACCTGTAATAAAATGAACACCATCAACAAATTTTTCCAGCAAAAGGCATTTTTGAAACAAACTTCTTCAGGTTTCAAACTACAAAATTCCAAATTGGAATATTTCAAACATTTGATGACATCTATATATACAGGTAATCCCCGTATAACATGGTAGTTACGTTCCAAAAAATTGCTGTGTTATGCAAATCCGTGTTATGTGAAACAAAGAACTAGTACGAAAAAGAGGGTTAGGTTCCAAAAATTAAAAAATGTGCTATTATATTTTCATAATTAAGATAAGAAAATTTTAATAAAGATATTTAAGTGATACATATTAATATAAATTAAATACACTAAAAGCACTATTAACCGAGGATAACTTGCCAAAAAGAGAACGGCAAGTTATCCTTATCCTCTGAGCATTTTTCTGTATTATCTTCAGATCCATGCAAAATCATGCATTCAGATTCATGCATTATCTTCAGATACCTTTTGCAAAACGTATGTAATTTTAGATTGCTTGCTTCTAGTTAAAAGATCTTTATAAATTTCCTCATATGGTGCTAAGCACTTATGAAGAATAAAGCAAATTTCATACTTGCTTCTGATGTTGCCAGATGTTTTTCCCTTATTTCATACAAGGGAAAAACATCTGGCAACATCAGAAGCAGAAGTGTTGAGATCTGGCAACATTGAAACAAGTTTCAAGAAGGACCATGTATAGCAACAGAAGGCAAGAAAAGAAAATTTACATACTTAAATACTAATAGTTCACGAAAATAATAATTTTTGTGAACTATTATTACTTAAGTATGTAAAAATTTATTACATTTCATGTTGTACGAGGGTTTTACCCAATTCTCAAACCGTGTCAGAGTGAATCCGTATAACAGTACCGTGTTATACGGGGATGGTACCAATTCTCAAACTGTGTTAGAGTGAATCTGTGCTATAGAAGTGCTGTGTTATACGGGGGTTACCTGTATATATAAAAATGGACTTGTGTGTCCCTATATTTCACTTTTCAGCCAAAACTACACATCGCATATGAATGGTGTTTGTAGGTGGTAGTAGCCCCAAGTCTCCATTCGTGCACTATGGTGGTTACGTCTCGATAGCTGTAAGGGTGCGGGAGATATGGGCTTGAAAGTGGTCGATTTTCTATTTCGATTTTTAAAATTTTCGAATTCGAATTTAAATTCAAATTGGTTCGATTATAGAACGATTGTAAACGTTCCAGAAAATTGATCAAATTGAAAATAGTTTGTTTGACTGGACGTAAAAATTCTCTAATTAGTCTGGAAATGGGGGACCTAATTCTTGCATTCTGTGAAAACAGGTAAGATTGGCTATAATGTAATTATTTTAATCTTCACTATCGTTACTTTTTGCCCACAAATAAAAACCCAGCAAAGCGAGTCCTTGCAGCTAGATTCTAGATTACTTAGAAAAACAGTCTCTTATATATAAAAAAAACTATGTTACATACAAATGTACGAACAAATAAAAACCCAGTGAAGCGGGTCCTTGCAGCTAGTTATTTATAAAATTCTGTTTGAAACCTAAAGCAGGTTTATAGAATAAACTGAAAAAGTTTGTTCTGCAAACTCCTTTTGCTGGAAATGTGTATATGGTGATTTATTCAGATTTGCAAAGAACAACTTTACTCAACATTTTTACAAAATATTTTTCCTAATTTGAAGGAAGATGAGGATAATATTACATTTTATTCATGGTTTGTTAAATATTTAATATAAAATGTAAAAATAAACTCAATTCTATTGTGAACATTCATAAGTGATTGGGCTGCAATTTGAAAAAAATTGTAGATCTATAAATTCCCACTGTTGGCTGTCTGGTGTCTGTCTTTTCTTAATCTCAAGAATTGAGTTAGATAGATGAAATCTGAGACCAGATATGGAAAGCTTAGGGGCAGGAGGCCCCTGATTAACTGTATATGAACTTTTGATGCAAACCAGAAATCACATTATTTCAATTAATAAATTTTCCCTGTAAGGAGTTAGTTAGTTGATGCATGACTCTGTTGCTAACAGGCAAAGTTTGATTTACAGGGGGTTACTAACAGATTACTACTAATTTGAGGTGGAGAGCCTATATTTTAAATTAAATAAATTTAAAAAATATGATTAAAAATTGCCATCTGGCATTGTGATGATATTGCAATAAATAATTGTGTAAGTCATTTGTTTTTATTACATTTACAAACTCAGCAAATTTACTATTTTAAAGTTACTAGACAACCAAAGAAGCTGTGTTTATTCTTATTTAGTTTAATTGGCATGAAATGTCAAATTATTTAATAAAAACTAAAAAAAATTAAAAATAGATTACAAATGTAATCTATTTGTATGTATAACAAAACATATGTTCATATTGCAAGGTTATTAGTTTGAATTGAAATTATTCATAACTATATTTTGCTATATTTTCTTTTAAATAATATATCAATTTCTTTGTAGAAAAGGGCTGGCAGAATTACAATTTAATAAAAAGTAAAATACATCTGGATACGAGTCCAATTTTGCTTGCCATGTCCAATCACCAGGAACGACTATTTCCATTGCAGAGACAACCTTTCTTCAGAGGCTATGCCTCTGCACAAATATGTAAAACAGTTTAAAATGTCCACAGGTGACAATCCCAACACAATTAAAAATATAATATTTCTTTGTAATGGAAATAGTTGTTCCTGGTGATTGGACATGGCAAGCAAAAGTGTATCCAGATGTATTTTACTTTTTATTAAAAAGATATATCAATTGTTTAAAAATATTTTAAAGTAGATAAACTTTGATAGCTGAATGATATCTATCATCATTTGACGATAGATATCATTCAGCTATCAAAGTTTTAATAATATTATTTGAAATCAGTTGACATCATCTGTTATAGTTCAAATGATATCAATTAATATTTTGATATTTTTACTTTCAAATTTCCATACTATATATCTACAAAATGTGATACTGTATTTAGATAATATAATTATTCAATTCTACAATAATAGTGTTAGTTGGTAAACTATAGATCATATATTTAAAATTAATGAAATTTAGCAAAATTAAATGTTAAATTTACATAAATATTTTGTAGTATTAATATATTCCATACATAAAATTCTGCTTTTTTTTTCATAATACAGTGATGCCTCGTATAATGCACTTAATCAGTTCCAGGTGCACGTGACATTTTCTAAATTCATTAAGTTTAACATAAATTTAAGATACTTATGGAGCAATGTATAAAATCTCAAAATATAACATTCATGTTATTCAAAATCTCTTTCTTGCTATAACATTATAATTTAAAACTTCATTTCCATTATAATTATAATTAGACATTTTGAATTATGAGTTTTTAGAAGTACCGGTATAAAGAATATTGTTATGTAAAACACATGTATGTAGTAAACATGTTCAGAAAGTTTTTAAATTTTCTTCTGTTGTTCATTGTATCAGGTCAGTCCATAAGTTTGCGTATTTTATGACATTGAGAAAAATTTTGTTTTGCTATTAAAAATGCCAGTCTAATGTGATACTTTTTACACTGAAGTGTTAAATTGGATCTCATTCATATAATACTGTTCAGAATTGGGAACATTTCAGTTGTTTATTTTCGTTAAAATGGAAGTAACAGATGAATATAAGAGACATGTTTTATACTTTTTATTTTTAAGTGATGAGAATGCTACAAATGCAGCCAAAAAATTAAATACTGTTCATAATCAAACTGTAATTAGTGTAAGGACTGCGCAGAAGTGGTTTGAAAGATTTAGAAATAATGATTTTAGTGTGGAGGATAAGGCTCGTACTGGAAGACCCGTTGACTTTGATGATGATGCTCTCTCTGCACTAGTTGAAGCAGAACCATCTTTAACAGTTGATGAAATTGCGGAACGTTTAAATTCATCCCATGGAACTGTTCATAGACATCTACAACAAATCGGAAAAGTTTCAAAGCTAGGAAAATGGATACCACATGAACTGTCAATAGCTAACTGACAACAACGTCAACTGCTCAACTCAAAAGCTTCAACTGGGAAATTTTACCTCATCCACCATATTTGCCAGATATTGCTCCCAGTGATTATCATCTTTTTCGGAGTTTGCAGAATTTTTTAAAAGGAAAAACTTTTGAGGATGAGAACAATGTAAAAAAAGCTATTTCTGAATATTTTGATTCAAAACCGAAATCATTTTACAAAGACGGGATTAAAAAGCTACCATCAAGATGGCAAGAAATTGTACAAAATAATGGTGAATACATTATAGATTGAAATAAGATTTAATTAAAATTTTTTGTTGCTTTTTTTGTAGATAAAAATGTGCATGAACTTATGGACTGACCTGATATTTAAATAGATATTGTATTATTAAAAATTAATCCATATAATTGCAAAACTTGTTTAACAATTATATTTTGAATAATACTTATAAAATTATTTCATAAAATAACTTTGTAATGATTTAAATAATTTTTATAAATTTAAATTTCTTTATATTTTTTTTTCAGGCTGCTGCTTATCTGTGAAAATATTTTTTAATTGTGATAAATGATATATGGATAAAAACTTGGCAATGTCTTTTTACCAAATAGCATAATGTGACAATGGAATCTGAGATTCTTAATAGTAATGAAGAAGTTAAGGTTGTACCTAATAAGTTATCTGAAGAGATAAAGGAATTGGGTGATATGACTGAAACAAAAAGAACTAGTAAATTAAATGATTCTAATAAAGATGTAACTGAATGTAATTTATTAGAAAAAACTAACAGTAATAAATTAAAAACAAAATCATGGGAACAGTTAAAATTTAATGGAGATGAATGCTACGGGAAGATCAATATTCAAAATCTTCAGTTTTCTTCACAAGGACAGTTAACATATCATAAATCTCATTTAGCTGCTAGTGATTCTTTGCTTAATCAAACAGTTCAAGAATCTACTAATCAAAAAGAAATCAAACATAGTTTGTCTGCATCTAATTTAAATATTAATGTGGAAAGTAACATTCCTACTAAGTTGCATAAAGACAATAAAAGTATTAATTCATCATTAAATAATTCTGAGCATCATTCATTTGCAAATGACTTTAACATAGCTGAAACATTTGATGATAATCAGTTAGAGAGGATTTCACTTAAAACATCTCTATGCCATCAAGAGAATGTAGGTGTACATAATAAACAAACAGAAAAATATTCTTGTGATCCGTCAGAAAATAGTTCTTTTGACAAATTAGGAAATGAAAAGTTAATTGAAAAAAATGCTATAAATTCAGATAAAGCAATTGTTTCTAGTGAAATAGATTTTATTATTCAAAATAAACACAATAATGATAATGAAAGTAAACAAGATTCTATTGATAATCAAGCAGATTCTGTTAACATTTTGAAAGAAAGAAGTTCTGATGGCATTTCAATGTGTTCATCACAAAGTAGAGAGAGTGAAGATGAAAGTGATGCTTTATTGTCTGAACTAGAATGTGAATTAGAGAGTGGAAATGAAGAAATTAGTGGTGTTTCTTGTACTCAGTTAAATGGAATTAAAGCAAACCTTTTACATCAATCAAAATATACAAAATCTCTGATGCAAAAATTTAAAAATCATCCAAGGTAATAATAATGTTTTTATGTAATGCTTTATGATTATATAATTAATTTATTTATTTGATTATTAGAATTAATTTTTTTAAATAAATTATACTAACTAAAAATTTGATAAAATTACATAAGAAAACGATATGAATAAACTAATAAATTCTAAAGTGTATTAGTTTATTCATATTGTTTTCTTACGTAATTTTATCAAATTTTTATGATTAAAATAAATTTCATGATTTATAATTTCTCATTAATAAAATAAAGCTCTTCCATTATTTAAAATTCGATTATATTTGTATTATTTAACTTATTTGTGTATCAATTATTACTTTTTAATTTATTTCAAATAACAGTTTTCCAACAACAACTTTATTAAGATCTAATAAAATAGAAATGTCTATGCTTGATTAGTGTTTTAACTAATCTGGAAAGCATGAAACATAGCCTAATAAATTTCATTGTCAAACTAGCAAAATTTGTTTGTATTTTTTTCATCTGACTTAGCACCAGAATAATACATTATACTGATTAATAAAACTTTCAATTTTAATCAATAAAATCAATTAATCAATATATATAATTACAGTGGGTGATTGGTTAACGAACATAATCTATTCCAAGACCATGTTTGCTACCTGAATTATTTGTTAACTGATTATTGATTTACCATAGATTTTTATGGTAATTTGATTAATTCAAGAGATTCAAAAAATAAATAAAAAAATTATATACTTACTATGTTTATTTATGTGTAATAACAAACTAAATGCAATCTCTCCATTCTTTCGTGGGTGGCACATCTTTGTTTCTTAGATGTGATTTTTGTTACTCCTTTATCTGCTTGAGTCTTTTTGATTATAACTTTCTTAGCTAAGATTTTGCTTATGGTAGTCTTGTTGAAGCCATACTGCCTGGCAACATCAGACATATTCCCACTCTCTACGTTGGCTATTATCTCTTGCTTAGTTTCTGTAGTGAACACAGTTTTTGACACTTAACTCTTTTTAGGCTCCATAATATTATCATATAGACTCTCATCTAAACACAAAATTTCCAGCAAAACACCCAAATTCAACATTTGAATGTTTTTGGCCACTCTTTAATAGGCCTTCTTCAGGAAAAGTCAAATAAAAATAACTATTATATTTATAGAATGCAGCCGTGTTTTACACGTAATTTAAAAAAAATTTTTAAATCAGTTCAAACAACATAGGCAATGTATATTCCTTTAAGAGTCTAAGAGCATTTGGTATGGGAATGTAATCTGTATTGATGCATGCTCCTCTTAAGTCAGCCTTGTNCTCGTACAACATGGAATTCATATAAAATGGAATTATCAACAGTGTTATAGGGGGTCGACTGTAATTCATTCTGTGAATATAAATTCACGGTTAATTTTCTTATAATGGTTAAACTGTGTGTCTTTTTGTATCTCATATTAATAATTTAAAAAAAAATTTTTTTAATGGCTGTGACGTATAGTAAGAAATATATATTCCTTTAAGACTGTAAATAATACTTCCGTGCATTTGGTATGGGAATGTAATCTGTGTTGATGCATGCTCCTCTTATGTCAGCCCTGTAGATTTCTGTGGCCTCTAATGCTCTTTAAGGCTACCCTAATACACAGGGTATTCAACAGAAAACACTCAAAACACAGGGTATCATAATTGGCTCAGATACAAGGATCAAGGCAGATAGAAGCAAGGCAATTGTGTTCATGAAAAGGACCACCTATGTCCATCTGTTACAGCAGTACATAGTAGATATGCAATGCTGAGGCCTCATATATAACAAAACTACAGAGTCATGTCGGTAGGTTTGTATGCAATAGCCTAGCAATGGCACTAGGCCTAAAGCACACAATAGTCAGCTCTCCTGACACCCCCACCTGTTCACCTTCGCAAAAACACACAAACCAGGTCAACATTTGCTTCCTGTTATTGATAAAGCCCAATGTTTTTGCTGGAAGATTGGATTCATTGTGTTAAAGTGCCACCTTCAATCACATGTACGATCTTTGATTCAGGTGCACTTATATCCAAATTTGCTGCTATTAATTTAAGTGGAAATGCATAACTCGCTGTGTTCGATTTTGTATCCATGTTTCCATCTATTTGTTTAGAACCATGTTTTTGAGCTTTAAGAGATTTCTTTCTAAGCACTACCCTAACGCTCAATTTTTCCACACTCAGATATTAGACCTAGCATACCTGTTATGCTATTCCTCATGTTTTTACTTTGATGAGCACACCTACATTCAAAAGAGAGAGGTACCTATGGGTAGTCCCATTTCGGGTGATCTTTGTGAACTGGTTTTACGACAATTGGAGGAACAGTCCTTAGTAAACTTCAAACATAATATTCTCATTTATACCCAATACATTGATGACATTTTGATTATATGGAGAAATAGACAGGATGTTGAGGATATGTTAAAAGTGTTTAATAATAACAACTATGGATTAACACTAAAATTAGATCAAGAAAACCACACGGACATTAATTTCTTGGACATCAAGATTCAGGTAGCAGATATTAAGTTCAACACCACAGTGTGCTGCAAACCCACTTACATCCCCTTATTAATAGTGGTCAACTCTGTTGACCACTATTAATAAGGGGATGTAAGTGGGTTTTATAAGGCGTCCGTCTTCCGCACACTTGTGGCTAGAGCCCAATCACATTGTATGCAGCTCTCAGATATTAACAATGAGCTAGAACAACTGAAACATGTTTCATCCAAGCATGGGCACAGCCACTCGTTTATTCCCAAACCGGGAATTTTTCCCTTATGGGACGAAGCTACTCTAATACACAGGGTATTTGACAGACAACACACAAGAGCATTAGAGGCCGCAGAAATCTACAGAGCCAACATAAGAGGAGTATGCATCAATGTGGATTATATTCCTGTACCAAATGCATGGAAGTAGTATTTAGACTCTTAAAGGAATATACATTGCTTACTATATGTCTTGGTCGTTGTTCTAACTGATTTAAAAAAGTTTTTTAAAAATTACGTGAAGAACGTGGCTACATTCTATAAATAGAACAGTTGTTTTTGTTTTTCCAGTTTATTGCTGTGGTTTTTATGTATAATATTATCAATTTTCTTAAATAAAAAGTTCAGAAAAGCACTTACAAAAATTCAGAGAATAAAAATTAACTAGTGCAAAAAAGGTTATGTATACAATTGTGAAAGTCTTCCATAAACCATTAAATTAAAATATAGTTTTACATATGTCAAATGCAGCATTGCTGCTGCTTGTGTTTGTTCTGTCAGGTGTTCATTATCTGAACATAAAAATCTCTCATGAAAGTGTTTGTTGTCTGATTTGTTTGCAGTCCGAACTGTTTGTTAACTGATCACCCACTGTATTGTACTCATTATTTTACTGTTTGAAAAAGGGGAAAAAGGTACGAAAGTACTTTGATGATCCACAAACGTATGATTTTAGTAATCTATTTTTCTTTTTCTGATTTACTTATTATAAATTTTGGTTACATAGCAAAAAAAATTTTTTCTGGTTTAAAATCTCTGCCCAATCTCATTTTATCACACCTAAAGAGATTAAAAGAGAAATTCAGAAATTCTTAGACAAGAAGATAGTGAAAATGATGAAAATTATTTAAATGATAGAAATGCAATATTATTCAATGACAACTGTGGTGGTGGTGATGATGATGATATTGTTACCAGGAGATTTATGGAATGTAAGATTTAGGAAGATATTTCCAATTACATAGCATTTTTCTTATAAGAGGGGGGAAAACACATTATTTTTATATTTTATTGATTTTTCTCCACTACATCAGATAGATATTTTTGTGATTACTTTTTGTTTTCATTATGATGATAAAAATAATTTACATTACATTTTAACTTTTATATTTGATGTTTGATGATCTGATGTTTATGTGGTGAAATTTGTTCTAATGGGGTGAGACAAAAAAATCTGGACTGAGTTTAAAGCATTATAACTTTTGAACTCAAAATGAAAAATTTTAAATCTTTACATCAAAAATTACAACATTATATATGCTCAGTTACAGCACATGAAATTTCCAAACATTCACGAGTCTGTTCAGAAAAAATTACTTCAAAAGAGGAGATATTAAGAGAGTGTGTTGCACAAATGTATGAATATAAAGTGAACCACTGCAAAAAATTGGTGGTTAAGCATTTTAACTGAAGGCCATGGGAAATCAACTGTGTGTAATATTTTGAAGTATGATATGTCTGGCACATGGAAAAGAATATCAGGAAGTGGAAGAAAGCCAGTTGTAATGAATGCTAAAAACAAAAAGTATTGCGACAAAAGTTTGATAACAAAGAAGCACTAAGTGGAGGCAGCTGAAAGGTTCAATTGTCATTGAACATATGTAGTTAAGACATTTAAGAGGCTGGGCATAAAGAAAACAAAGAAGAGGACCCCAGAGTATACTGCTGAAAAAACTGAACTCTGAATGCAATGCAGATGGCTCATAAGAAATTTTGGAAATAAAAAATTTATTTTAGGTCATCTAAAAGAAATGTTTGGACTATGTTGACAAAACTGCATCAAACTACTGGCTGACTAGGACTGTCTGTTTGGAGAGACTTGAGGGGTTTATGGTTGTCATTCAAGATCAAGTCATAAATACTAAAAACTATAGAAAACACATACAAATACATTCTGGGGGATACATCACTCACAAATGACTTGCAGAAAATGCCACATTCTGCCAGAAACAATACGTTTAACTTCTGGTTGCAACTTTTTAGCACATTACAGATATATTTCATAGGCAGTATTAGAAAATGACACACACAAAATATACTACGACAAAGCTGTAATCACACACAAAACAATTTATTAGAATAGACCTGATATCACTTTCATTGACAAATGTATTAAGATTGCTTATATAATAGACATCTCTGTTCCAAACTACTCATAACATAAAAAAATGCTCATACTGAAAAAATCAACAAGTACAGTACTCACACAAGAAATAAGAGAGCTGTGGACGATGGATAAAATATTTATTGTATCTGTCGTCCTCTCTTCTACTGGTGTTATACCACATACGCTACAAAAAGTCTAGAAACATTAAACCTTCATAAAAACATACATGTGACACTACAGAAAGCTGTAATATTGAACATATCATATTAGGAAGTTTCTAGATGTTGACACACATATCAATAACACAGAAGCTTAATGTAACACTTGTTTGGGTAGCTATGCTTTGACTTTAGTTCAGGATAGCACTTGGCATCAGTATCAGCTGAGTATGACATTTTTAACATAATAATAATAATAAATAAATAAATTACTTTAAAAAAAAACAATAACAATGTTCACACCTATCTGGCAAAAATACAAAAAAACTATCAATAGTATTATAGAAGATAAGCAATAGGTATTACAGCTGGTCAGCATCAGATTGAACTAAATTAATATGTAGTTTTCTAAGATGATATTAAATATACTGTAAATGTTACATAATAAAAATACATAAGTAGAACTGAAGTTGGAAAAAGAAAAAAAACTCTTGAAAATTTAAGAAATAAATTATTGTTTTTATGATTTTAGTACAAGTTGTGATTATTTTAATTAAAGTTTATGGAACAAGAAAAATAATTTTAATAATTTGGTTATATTTTTAAAAATTAAAGGATTATGAATATTAAAATGATACCGGTTTAAGCTAAGTTAAATTTGTTAATAATAAATTTTTACTAATAATGATGTATATTACAAAAAATTAATACCTATTTTGAATTTATTTAAGGGTTAGTTAATATGTTTTGTATAATTAAAACTCAATTTATAGAAATTAATATGATTTTTATAAAATATTTTAGATATCCAAGCTTTTATAATACAAGTAAACAGGCTATAGAATATTTTGAACTTCAAATTGATTTTCTAGAAAAAGCTAACAGTCAACTTCAAAAAGAATTAAAAGAAGTAAATGAAAAACATTCAGATGAAAAAAATGAAATTAAAAAACAATTAATTCAGGTTAAATCAGATTTAGGAGAAAAAATTGAAAAGGTATAAAAATGTTTTATTGTTTTGATAATTTATTGATGTCAATCATCACAGAGATTGTTTTAAATATATGCATTTATTTGATTTTTATTTAATAAATTTTTGTATATTTCAAGACAAATAAGAATTTATTTATAGCTAAATTTTTTCAATAGTTACAAAAACAGTATGAAGGTGCACAGAAGGAAAGAGATAATATGGTACTTCGTTATGCGCAAAGTGAACGAGATGTTATTAATTTGAAAAAAGTAAGAGATGAATTTGAGAAAAAACTTAAAGATGCTGCAAAAGAAAGAGAAGGTATTTTAAATAGGATTAAAGGTTTAAATACAGAAAAGTCTCGTTTGTGCAACAATTTAGATAGTAAGGTAAATTAAAACTTAATTATAAGAATGTTTTTCTATATTTATACTTTATTAAACTCAATTATTTAATGCTATTTTAGTCATCAGAAATATCAGCTCTTAGAAGAGAAAGTGAAAGACTGAGAGAAGAAGTAAATTCTCGTGATATCCGTATCAAATGGACACAGAATAAATTGAAAACAGAAATGGATGCCCATAAGGTACATATTCTATATAGATTCTAAAATACAAATGAACATAATAATTGCTGATGACTGTTTTCTGACTGAAATTTCCCAAACTCTTTCATTAATCTATACTAATATTATAGAGAGGTAATGTTTGTAAGTTTGTATGTAGGGGTAATCTCCGAAACTATTCATCCGATTTCAGAAATTCTGTCACCAATATTTAGAATGGAACTTCAGGGTGGACATAACCTGTATATTATTCCGTTAAACATTCATATAAATTAAAAGATATCATCTATGTTTAAGGCTTTTATGTCCAACAGATGGTGCTATGAGTACGATGACCTAAGTTTGCTTTTCTGTGAGGATGAGCTAAAGCAGAGCATCTTCTATCTATCTATATAAATAAAAATGTAATGTTTGTTTGTTCCTACCAATTTTTTTGAAATTTTGACACTACGTTGTATTCGAATACGCACATGTTTTTATATAATATACATGTCAAAATTCCCCCCACTGGGTGGAGATGGACAGGATTATGGCTTACCATAAAGAACTCTGCTTCTATTTATACTATTTTAGATGCGGTGTTTTGCGTTTTTTTCATTGTGTTTTAATAGGGTACGTCAAGAGAATGTACACTAAGAAGGGATTTTTCAAAAAATCCCCCCCACGGGGGAAGTGTTATACATTTATAATAGATAAATTTTGAGCCACAACGTGTGGCAGGATCCATTAGTGTTAACATATTTTTACTTCATTGACTGTTAGGAATATAACCATGAGAAAGTATTGGAATTGTGTCAAATTTGGTCATCTGGGTTTTTTGTAAATCTCAAAATTTTGAGAGCCCTGAACCAAAAATATTCAAAAAACTGGGGAAAAAATTTTGTATGGTGATGTCTATTTCATCTTATATCTCAGAATGGAGTGAGATTAAGAAACAATATTTTGCATATTAACTTGTATATTAAAAATGTTGATACTATTAAATTTTGGTGGGTAAATTTTGAGGGGGTATGTTTGTCATATCTTGAATGTGGTCAGACTTAATGAAACTTTTACTTTTGGCATTTACAACTTTTAAAAACTTGTCTCTTCCCACAAAATTAAGCCTTTTTCCAGAAAAGTTATATGACTCATTGCTGGACTTTTTACATTTAAATTTTAAGACCTTGATGAAATCTGATAAATAATCATTGTTTTATTTATATCATTGTATATTAATGTTGCCTTTTTCAAAATTTTTTTACTTTCTATATCAGTTCAGTATAATAATTTCATATTTTTTATAAGAAAATTATTTTATTTTGATTAAGAGTTAAAAAGTACATACTTTTAATGTGACATATCAAAAAAGCACCATTTCACACATCCATAATAGACATGCTTTGGGCTAGGAAATATGACTTGAAGTGAGGAGTATTTCATTCTTAGAATAATTTTACTTATTTTTACTTCAAAAATTTATAATTTCCTTATACACCAATATTATACAATACATGCATAATATAAAATCTATATATTAGAGAGGTTGAGGCGCACGTTTTAAACGTGTAAACGTGTACGTGTGACGTTCGGCGCCGCTTTCCCGTAAGCCTAAAAGTTTGACAATGGTGTTTGGATAGTCGGTGGAATCACGCTCGACATTCCAAACACCATCGTCAAACTTTTAGGCTTACGGGAAAGCGGCGCCGAACGTCACACGTACACGTTTACACGTTTAAAACGTGCGCCTCAACCTCTCTATTATAATGGTGCCTTATACTTCAAATATAATTCATTGCAGGAGACCATTCAAACTCTGACTCGTTTGATGTCCAAATTAATTTTTTTCATTAGAAATAATGGAAAGCAAATTAATCCATTTCTAAACAATAACTATTTTGATAAACTGAAAACAGCAAATACACATAATTTAATGTAAAAATAACTTAACAAAATGCCCTATAATATGCCTAATAATAAATTAAAACTTGAAAATAATAAATAAAATATGTAAATACTGTAAATTGAAGTGAAAATTGCATTTACTGGTTGCACACCATTGACTTTGTCATCTTAAACAAGGCCTCCAAATCTGCCACATTTGTACTGCTTTCATGTTTTGTGATAAATTCCTTTTTCATTTCAATTGTCAATATTACAATCTTCCTCTTAGACATCATTGCTTCCACACACTTCTGAGATGCCATTGTTAGTAAGTGAAAACTATATTGGGACAAACATAGTTTCTGCATATTTTTAACAGTTGTTGTTACTTAATATAGATATGTGAATTAATTAAAACAGTTTAACACATTATTGCTAATGTGAGCTTTTATTCTTTGTTTAGAAGCTTATTTTAAACTGTTTACTGCACATTTTCTTTGAATCAAATCAAGGTAAAATGTCTTCAGATAAATAGTATATTGGACATATTATACTTTGAGTTTCAGAAAGGATATAATGCCATTCAAACAGTAAAAAACATTCATAATGTGTATAGAGATAAACTTCAAATGTGTCAACTGTAGTTGAAAAAATTTGATTTGGAAAATTTTAAACTGAAGGACACTCAAAGTACAGGCTGACCAAAAGCAGTCCACAAAGAAAAATTACAGGAAAAAATTGTTAAAGATTGATGAATAACACACAATATGTATAACCAAATACTCCAAAAATAAAGTAAAAAAAGCACTGAAAACATACAAGTGTAATGCAAGAGCAAAAGATAACTTGGGCTTCAAGTGGAATTTTTCACTGTGTGCACAGTTCAAAGTTTGAAGCATCATTCAAACTCCAAAGCAAATTTTGTCAAATTTAGCATTCAAAGAGTAATTTGAAGTATGAGGTACCATGTATTTTTGAAATCTTCTTTAGGTAGAAAAATTATAATTAAGGTTATATCTAAATTTAAATACATCTGAAAGTGAAGGCTTGCTTGAGGTCCAGGTAGTATAGCTGGCAGGTGCACTGCATGGCAAGTGGAGGTTGTGGGTTCAAGCCCCACCCTAGGCTGGTTATTTTCTTCCAGATGATTCTGAATTATTTAATAAATTATTTAAATTATAATTATTAACTTAGATAATAGATGACACTTAACGTCTACCCATAGTAGCAAATTATTTAGTATTAATTATTAAAAATAGAGAATTTATAGCCAGAGTATTTAAGGCGATCGTTTGGCTATGTATATATATCAGGCTTCAGGTTGTTTAATATACTTAATTATAATTAATAAAGGAACTTTCTCTTCTAGTTACTTTTTTTAAATGAAAATGCACACTGAGCCATAATATTTATGCAAGTTACATAACATTGTTTCATTTGATCTTCTGTAACAAAGTGAACTGTGATTCATCAACATGGCTATCATTTGTAAATACAGTAGCCCCTTGTTATAACATGGATTCGGATATATCACACTTTTTTGGGTCTTCCAAATTTTAAAACACTTGAGTCAATAAATTTTAAATTATCAATTGCCATTGAATTTCTTTTTGCAATGAAATACAGTATTTTATTGATACCATTGTCCTTGAAACTAACACCACAGATGAAACAATAAATTTGCAAGATCTAAATAATCAAAATAGGTGGACTGATCAATTATCATTTAGGTTTCCTTCTGATATTAAAAGTGTTTATTTATTGGTTGTAAGTACTGTCTCCTTATTTACAAGTTTCTGTGAATTCAAAATTTCACACCTTTATATGAATTGATGGTATTTCATCAATTCACATAAAGGTGTGATATTTTGAATTCACTGTGTAATGTGTAAGGAAAATTTCTTTATGAATGGAAAGTTCTAAAATTTTTACATAGTAGTAATTTTATTTTGCTTTTTAGAGAATTTTTACTCTTTGTAATTTTATAAGTTTCAATGTTCTATTATTTGTTCAATACTTATTTTTTAAATTTTCAATTTTTTACTGTATTTATAATTTTTATTGAAAAATATACATTACATGAATTTTTAATAAATGATTTATTATGAAATATAATACTGTATAATAAAATTTGCAACTGATATTTTGTTTTCATATCAACAGTATTTGTCTTTAAATGTCATTGTTAAAGAAACAATAATGTTAAATGGGCGTTCAAGGTATTGATGTTTATGTAAACATAAATTAATACAATATATAACCATGAATAAAATTAAGCATTGAAAAACTAAGCTTATTTTATATCAGAAATATTTGTTGGTGAAAGAATGGAGGATATAGATTCCATAGCATGTATAATCTGTTTAGTAAAAGCTGAGAATTTTTAGTATTCGGTTATATTGTGCCTTTTCTTTGTTTTTCGACAAACGTGATATAATGAGGGGCTACTGTATAATCATAAGTAATATGTTTATATTTACAGTTATAATTTCTATAAATCTAGATGAGATATAATTAGCAATATGATCATCTACTTTTTGAAGTCCTGTTCAAATCCTGTTTCAAGTTGTTCTCAATCCTTCTAAATTAATTAAACAAAACTTATTTAATGATTCTGTTTCTTATTAGATAGTAACATATTTTTCTCTTAATGCCAAAATTGTAAGTTGCTTAATTAATTTAAATTTTAATTTATTCTAAATCATACACTCAAATTAATTGGCACATACTTTCATTATTTAAATGGAAAAATTATAAATAAAAGTTGCATTTGATGAATACTAGAAAATTTTATTTGCTTTAAATTCTTAAATTAATAAATAATTACTTTGAAATATTGGATACGTTTTATAATTGTTTCAAGTATTAAAATATATTTTTAATAGAATAATGCTTATATTTTTTGTGATTTTAATAATAATAATAATAATAATAATAACTCTCCCGTGGTCACCACCTGGTCGTGGTGGGAGAGCCCAGTAGTTTTACAGATCCATAGGGCAATGCAGGCTGGAGCACAAGCTCCTGGTAGGGACACCCATGCCAGTAAGGTCTATGGGGAGAAATGAAGCTAAGAGTGACCACACACCCACATTCTGTGGAGATAATCATTATGGTAGTAACCAGATC